TAGGAAAGCATTGAATATTGCTTCCCTATGGGGAGGTCTAATGCACGTGCGGCCACTGCCGTGCAGGAACATTTGATCTCCCCCACCGGTTGACGTCGGCGCTGGAGGAGCGTGGACGAAGCCTGACCTAGCGCTGAGGGACATTGGCGCTGGATTAAGGTAAGTAGCTTAAGGAGTTCTAACCCCTTCAGCCACGTGGGAACAGCTTTGTTTTCCTGGCATTATAGGGTCCCTTTAACTTCTGTAATGATTGCAATAGTGTTTAGTGGAGTAAAGAAACAAGGAACTTCTCTGTAAGTGACAGTTCCACTTTAAGTCCATGTTGATAATAAAATGTCAATAGCATTGAGAGAGAGAATACAAGTATGATGCTTTCAATGTGGAATACAGCCATATACACTCGACCACTTTGTCAAGTGTTGGATTCTGGATGACTATAATGTCTGCAACAGGAAGTCTAGCAAAAATATAATACCTGTAAAAAGGCTTATTTCAAAGTAAATTAATTTTCATTACTTCGTTATTATATGAAGCTCTTTTGCAAATTCTTGTTATATCTGGTATTGCTATTGCTATAAAACCTCCCATATACAGAACAAATTAATGGTATCCAGAAATAGCATCCATCACATTTATATAAAGGAAACTGGAAATGCTTGAAAATATATTTTGATAAAAGTGCATACGTGTTGAATATTGAAACAAGCAATTGCCATAGAATCCAAGATAGACAGGAACTAATTAAAATAAAGGTACAAATACCTCCTCCTACCTCCTCCTCCCTCAGTCTTTTTGTTCCTGTCCTATCCCTATAGGACCAAATTAGTCTATTGCAGGACTATAATCACTTTTTCTTTTCTGGCTTACCTGAGGGTTTTTACCTTCTGCCCCCAAGGAAGTTCAGCCTCTCTTCCTTGGGAAGCTTCAGTATCCGGCCCTGTGCAAAGTTGTCCCCCTGAAGATACCCCCTTAGTGACCGGGGGTTTACTTGCAGTGACCCTAGGGGTAGCAAGAAAAAAAAATGCCAATAACTCTTATTCCCTGCAGTGACCAAGAGGTAGCAGGAAGTGGCAAGAAGACTTTATCCTGGATGGATCAGTATATTTCTCCATATTGACAGCCCACATGTATGTATACACATAAATACTTTTTTCATATATACTGTATTTAGTATACTTATATATGTGGGTTCCCCCTCCTGCCTAATCAGTTTTTCTACATACCTGTTTTCATTCATGGTTCTGTCTTTTATTAATATGAATATCTCCATGCCTTTCCAGCGTCCTGAAGTTCCTTATGTGCATGTGCAACGTTTTTGGGCGTGCACGCTAACTATTTTTGCGTGCACGCTGAGTTCGCGCATGCGCCCTGTCCACCCGCGAGGCAGTTATGATGCCTCCCATTTGGGCTTGGCTTCCAGGTTTTCCGCGCATGTGCATATAACAATTAGTGGTTTTACTCGTTCGGAGCATGCACGGATAGGCGGTGACGTCAGATATGACGTCACACGCCTATTTAAGCACCAAAATTGAATAAAATCATTGCCTGATGACTTCATTAGGTCTCAAAGGACCTGCTTTATTTCAGAATCCAAATTTGAAAAGCTTCTGAAAATTTCAAGTTTATCTGAAGGTAGGTTTTGTTTCCTTAAAGGTATATACACATTTTTATTTTATTCTCTCTTTCTTTCTTCTTTTGCATTCAATAACAATAAATCCTTTTCCCTAGACTATTCAAAAACAATTCCAATATGGAGAAAGAAAAAAGGAGATCAATCTCTTCTGATTCAGACTCTTCTGGATATAAAAATAGGTCACACTCTAAGAGTTATAGGTAAGCCATATCATTTTTTCTTTTCTCCATTCCGATATTATAGGTGTAATACATAAAATAAAAGAGAGCTAATATGAGATATTTCCCTGTCATGATAGTTCTACGGGAAAGAAAACGGTGAGATCATCCAAAGGAAAATCACCAAAAAAGAATCAATGCGATGCCTGTAATAATAAACCGCTGGAAGGCAAATGATTATGTGCAGAATGTTTATCGGAAGCAGCCGGAACATCTAATCCTTCAACTGAGTTTATGCAGTTCATAAAACAAGCGGTGACTCAGGGCATTAAGGAAGCAGGTACAAGAACCAAAAGACCCCGGTTACATGACCCTTCAGATTACCAACAAAACGATTCATCAGACGAGTCCATGGATATGGAGTCATACCAAGGAAATTTCTTATCTTCGGAAGAAGAAGAAACTCAGGCTCCTCCAGATTTTCTAGAACCTGCTCAAATAGATCACCTTATTTATAAAGTCCGTAAATCTTTGAGTTTGAAAGTGGCAGTTACAGAGCAGTCAACTTCTTATCGTTACTTCACAGACTTGAGAAAGAAAAGAGCAACCTTTCCAGTACATGATACAATCAAGGAATTAATTAAGGACGAATGGTCCATATCTGATAAAAAGCTTTCAGCACAAGGCAGAATCTCTCGCCTCTATCCTTTTGACAAATCTGATTCATACCATTGGGATAACGCCCCTAAGGTGGATGCTGCAGTAGTTAGACTCGCAAAGCATACCACATTACCAGTTGATGATGCAGGCTCATTCAGACACCCAATGGACAAGAAGATGGACTTACATCTTTCAAAAGCATATGTAGCAGCAGGTACTGGTTTTCACCCTGCAATAGCCCTTACATCAGTTTCCAGGGCCTTGAAAATCTGGATCGAGAATTTGGAAGAAGATATCAGAGATGGGAGAAACAGATCTTCTCTTCTGGAAAGGTTAAATGATATTAAACTGGCCGTTGACTTTACCTCAGAATCCTCGGTGGATATGGTGAAAGCTCTAGCAAGAAACATGGTTCTCTCAATATCAGCTAGAAGAACTTTGTGGCTGAGATCTTGGTCCGCAGACTCATCATCAAAGTCTAGTCTATGTGCCCTTCCTTTTCATGGTGAGATGCTGTTTGGTAAAAATCTAGACAAGTGTATCAAAAGAGCTGCAGAAGGGAAAAGAGCTTTTCTCCCACAAGACCGGAAAACCTGTTGGATCCTTTTGAGCCAGAAGGTACTCTGAATACCCCTCCTTTCGAGATACCAGATCATATAAACCTGGAAGAGAATATGGAAGATCTATTCCATGGAGAGGATGACATTCTTCCAGCAGAGGAGGTGAATCCAGGGGTTCTTCATTCCACAAGAAGCCTTTATGACAAATTCACTTCCCAATCTGGAGGAGTAGGTGCCCATCTACTACTATTTCAGAATATGTGGAAACATTCAACTCGAGACAGATGGGTGCTGGATATCATACAAAGAGGTTATCTCATAGAGTTCTCCAGAATACCGCCGCCTCGCTCCTTCCAGAAGACAAACTGGCCAAGAGATATAGAAAAAAGAAACAACCTAAAAAAGTTTATCTCATCCCTTCAAGAAGATGGAGTTATCGTTCAAGTTCCACGGGCTCAACAGACACATGGGTATTACTCCCATATTTTTCTCACCAGAAAATCCACAGGGGGATGGAGGCCAATATTAGACCTAAGCAGGTTTAACAAGTTCCTAAACATAAGAAAATTCAAGATGGAGTCCCTTCAATCCATTGTGAAAGCAGTTTTTCCAGAACAGTGGCTCATGTCAATAGACCTGGCAGATGCGTATTTCCATATTCCCATAGCACCCCAGCATCAGAAATTCCTCAGATTCGCTGTGGAAGAGGGTCATTTTCAGTTCTGTGCTCTCCCTTATGGCCTAAGCACTGCGCCACGTTCTTTCTCAAAAGTTCTGGTGGTTCTAATGGCAGAACTCAG